GAATTCAATATAAGTTTGCAGGTTTCTTCAGCTTTAGACTGAAGGTTGATATTAAAGTACCTTGTTTAAAAGTTATTTGCCTTCATTCTTTTTATTTTTCCTCAATGTGATTTGTCATTAACTTATAATCCATTTAGATATGTTAGTTTATGTTTGTTTTTTTCCCCATCCTTGAAGATTTAAATGTTTTTGCATACATAGAAAACGTTAATATGGTTCCCAAAGTCAAAATTACATAAAAGCATATAGCCAGAGAGTGTCCCTCTCTCCTGCTCGCCTCCATCCCAGCACACTGGCTTCAGCAGGGAACCAATCTCTTTTAGTCAGCTTTACCTTTGCTGTGTTTCTTTGGTAACAATAAGACGATTGTATATATTTGCTAATTTCTTCCTTATTTCTTATACAAAAGGTAGCATACTGTCACAGGCTGGCTCTGGGATGCAGACACTGAGACGGTGATTAGTGAGCAGGAGATTTACTAGAAAGTGTCCTAAGATTAACCCCCAGGAAGGAAAGGGACAGAGCAGGATTGGACAGAGGGAGAAGCTGAGCTGCCGTGTGGCCTGAGCAGAGCCTCAGCTAACCTCGTGGAGAATTTTGAAACTGGGATGGCCCTTCAGAGTTGTCCCATATTAGGTGAAAAGCCAGGGGTCTTTATACCACGCATCTATCAGTCATTAAACGTGGGCCAACTTAGGAAAAAATGTAACCTTAGGCAAGCCAGTTCCTTTCAGTAGATGCAGACCCCACAGTGGTTTGACATCTGAGGGCTTTCTGCCTGCAGCACTAAGTCCTCAGTTCCCAAAGGGATCTCCGGGCTGCATCACAGCATCTACCATACACACTACATATTTCCTTTGTTTTTTCGTATACATTATATCTTGGAAATCACTCCAAATCTGCTTTTAAAGATGGTCCTTGTTTTTTCTTAACAGCTGTATAATATTCTAATGTGTGGATGTACTATTCAATGAATATTTAATCACTGAATGTTTATTCAATGAATTTCCTATGTATGGGTGTCTGTGTTGCTCCAGATGTTTTGCGATTACAATTTTTTTTTTTATACAGTTTGATTCTTGTTATCCAGGCTGGAGTGCAGTGGTGCAATCTCAGCGCACTACAATCTCCGCCTCCTGGGTTCAAACTATTCTCCAGCCTCTAGCCTCCAGGCATGCACCACCCATGCCCAGCTAATTTTTTGTATTTAGTAGAGACGGGGTTTCACCATGTTGGTCATGTTGGTCTCGAACTCCTGGCCTCAGGTGATCCACCCACCTTGGCCTCCCAAAGTGTTGGGATTACAGGCATGAGCCACTACGCCTGGCCTGCAATTACAATTAATGCCGAAATAAATAACCTTATATATATGTATTAACATACTGGTGGAGGCATATCTTCAAGGTAAATGCCTGTGGCCTTACTCTGTATACCCTTTACCCATCTTCCCTTACCTTATATCATCATGGTACATTTATCAAAACTAAGAAATTAATATTGGTACACCACTCCTAACTGATGAATTTTATTTAGGTTTTGCCAGTTCTTCCACTAATGTCACCTTTCTGTTGCAGCATCCAGCCAGGATGTCATGTGGCATTTAATCATGTTTTCTCAGTCTTCAGTTGTTGACTGGTTGTTGGGCTTTTCTTGTCTTTCTTTTTTTTTTTTTTTTGAGACAGAGTCTCGCTCTGTCGCCCAGGCTGGAGAGCAGTGGCCGGATCTCAGCTCACTACAAGCTCCGCCTCCCGGGTTCACGCCATTCTCCTGCCTCAGCCTCCCGAGTAGCTGGGACTACAGGCGCCCGCCACCTCGCCCGGCTAGTTTTTTGTATTTTTTAGTAGAGATGGGGTTTCACCGTATTAGCCAGCATGGTCTCGATCTCCTGACCTCGTGATCCGCCCATCTCGGCCTCCCAAAGTGCTGGGATTACAGGGGTGAGCCACCGCGCCCGGCCTCTTGTCTTTCATGCATGACACTTTCGAAGTGTAGAATTCCCTTCCTATTGTGTAAATGTAGAATAGGCTCATGGATATTTGTTTTATTCTTTAGTTTATATGCAATACTATTGTTACTGTGTCCAGAGTTGGTTCCCGCCAGTGGGTTCGTGGTCTCACTGACTTCAGGAATGAAGCCGCGGATCTTCGCAGTCAGTGTCATAGCTCTTAAGGATGGCACGGACCCAAAGAGTGAGCAGGGGCAAAGTTTATTGTGAAGAGCAAAAGGACAAAGCTTCCACAGCGTGGAAGGGGACCCCAGTGGGTTGCTGCTGCTTGCTGGGGTGGCCAGTTTTTATTCCCTTATTTGTCCCCACCCATGTTCCATTTTTGTCCTATCAGAGTGCTCTTTTTTCAATCCTCCCTGCGATTGGCTACTTTTAGGATCCTGCTGATTGGGGCATTTTACAGAGCACCAATTGGTGCATTTCACAGAGCGCTGATTGGTGCATTTTACAGAGTGCTGATTGGTATGTTTTACAATCCTAGCTATGGAGTGCTGATTGGTGCGTTTTACAATCCTCTTGTGAGACAGAAAAGTTCTCCAAGTCCCCACTCGACCCAGGAAGTCCAGCTGGCTTCACCTCTCATTACTTATTTTACTGCTGGAATTGGTCTAGCTTCAGCCATTGGCTGGTTCAGACTGGCTGTGACTATATTAGCTTTCCATTGCTGCTATAACAAATTGCCACAAATTTAATAACAACAGGAATGTATTATCTCACAGTTCTGGAGGTCAGAGGTCTAAAGTGAATCTCAGTGGACCAGGGTGAGGTGTTAGCAAGGCTGGCTCCTTCTGGAGGCTCTGAGAGGAGAATCAGTTTCCTTGCTTCTCTCAGGTTTTGTGGCTGCCTATGTACTTTGACTTGTGGCCTGTTCTTCCATCTTCAAAGCACATCACTCAGATGCCGGTTTCCACCCTCACATTCCTTTCTCCTCTCTCTGATCCTCCTGCATCCCTCTTATAAGGACCACTGTGACCCCCTTGGGGCCCCCAGATCATCCAGGATCATCTGCCATCTAAAGGTTCTTAACCATATTTGCAAGGTCCCTTTGCCATGTAAGTAACATATTCACAGGTTTTGGAGATTAGGATCTGGACATATTTGGGGGCCATCATTCAGCCCAACACATGTCCTTCTAACACGCCTCCAGCCTTTCTTTTCCTTCTGGTGCTACAAGATGTTCCAGCCTTACTTTGTTTATTCCTGGCCCCAGACCTAGAATTTCTCAGGCATTTCTCTGGAAATACTGGGGTGTCACTGCCACTAGGGCTTCTCAGAAGACAGAGCAAAAAAACTATAGCTAAACACAGATTAGTGTATTATACATGTGTGTACGTGGACACACACACATTCATACTGATACGTCCCACTCTATTCCACAGGGCTCATTCTAACCTTCCCCCCTTGCTTATTTGTAACTTTTTTCTCTGAGAGTGAGACCCCGACTTTCAGTATCTACAATGTATTTATCTATTTATTATACTCGTAGTTTCAAGATTACTAACTGGGAAACAAATTTACTAACTAGAATACTGTGCTAATATACGATTATGTCTTTAGTTTTACAGTATACAGTCAAAAGGACTGTCTTCCAAAGTTGTCTAGGTCAGCTCCTTCCCCCCACAACTCTTTCAGTGAGGCTGTATCATGCATTTGTAATATTGTTAGATTTGTTTGTTATAGTCTGCCTTTCTCCACAGGACTTCCTAACAGCCTCTTTCTTCCCTCCCTCCCTCCCTCCCTTCCTTCCTTCCTTCCTTCCTTCCTTCCTTTTTCTCTTTCTCTCTTTCTTTCCTTTTTGAGACGGAGCCTCCCTCTGTCACCAGGCTGGAGTGCAATGGCGCTATCTCAGCTTACTGCAACCTCTGCCTCCTGGGTTCAAGCGTTTCTCCTGCCTCAGCTTCCCGAGTAGCTGGGATTACTGGCGCCTGCCACCATGCCCACCTAATTTTTGTATTTTTAGTAGAGACGGGGTTTCACCATGCTGGCCAGGCTAGTCTTGAACTCCCGACCTCAGGAGGTCAACCTGCTTCCGTTTCCCAAAATGCTGGCTTTACAGGCGTGAGCCACCCGCCCAGCCAGCCGGGTTCATTCTTCAAATTTGCACACACTAAAGTCCACTCTTTGTGGTGTACAGATCCATGTGTAGTTGTGTGTTTCTGGGCTTTTTATTCTGTTCCAGTGGTCAATCTGCCTCTTCATATGATAGTATCACACACTTTCCTATTAGAGGATCTAGAATGTTTTTTAATACCTGGCAAGCTATTCTCACTCCACAGCTTTTTATTCCAGGGTTCTCCTAGTTGTTCTTATGTTTAATTTTTTCATATGGACTTTGGCATCAACTTTTCAAGCTCCATTAAAAAACAAAGCTTGTAGAATTTTTATAGGATTGCATTAAATTGACGGTGTTGCTAAGATTCAAACATAGGCAGATTGCTCCAACACCTACATGAAGTTTTGGGCAAAAAAGAAAAAGTAACATTTTTGTGGTGTTATTCAGTTTTTATTAATAGAAGTCAGTTTTGTTGTTATAACTAGGCTACTTTGTATTAACCCTGGAATTGAAACTTAATATGAAAATAATTTGCATGCAAGTTTACTAATAAGGAATCAGGCCCAAATGCACTAAAAGACAGACCTGAAAATTGTGTTTAGACAACTCTGAAAATTCTTATCCCTATAATAGAAGATAATTCATCTGTGAAATGAAATCATAATCTAGAAACCCTCTGATGGCACGTACAACTTGTTTTTAGTGGAAAACTCAGTCAACTAATTCTGAAATGTTTGCATACTTAAATTATACCCCAAGTAATAAATAACAACATATTAAATAACTTTGCTTTGTGTCTGTGTGTTTTATCAATTTATTTTTTTTCTCATCCAACTTCTTTCCAAAAGCACTTAAGAAGATTATAATAAGTCTCTAGTTACACTTTCCTTCTTCTGCAAATTTGTCAGAGTGAAAATTTATTGTGTTCTTTGAAAGAATTACCTTTTGGCAACTTGCACAAAGTCTTCACAAGCTTTAGCCAGTTCCTCAGCCATCATCTCCAACGAGGCAAATACTTCATTCTCCACTTCTTTCCTCTCCATTGAGATGAGGAGATGGCAAAGCTGAACGATCATTGGTGAGATGATTCTCTCAATGCCTTTGTTCCGTATCACAGAGCTGACGTCATCCAAGAGGAAAGACTCCATCTTTCTTAGTCTGTGAACAGAAGCTGCAGCATAGTTTTACTCACACTGACTGACATGTAAACCTACTTCTCTTTGACTTGATGTTCATCTACTTTTACTTCGATGATGAGAAAGAAATCTATGAAATATCAAAGGGATAAGTTGGGGGAGATATTTTCAGGATCTCACAAGTATGGGCTAGGTTGTGGCTTAGCAGAAGCATTAAAAAATGGGACAAAGGCACAATGAGAGAGATTCAGAGGTTCAAACAATGGCGAATGGAGTCACAAACTATATGAAATTGAGGCAGTTTAAGAAATGGTTAATTTACAAAGAAACATTGGGCTTCAATTGGACTTTACATACATTTACAGAACACTCTACCAAAAAACTGCAGCACATTCTTCTCATCAGCACATGGAATATTCTCCCACACAAACCTATATCAGGCCACAAAACAAATTTTTCTTTTTTCTTTCTTTCTTTCTTTATTTTTTTTTTTGTTTTGTTTTTGAGACGAAGTCTCGCTCTTGCCCCCCAGGCTGGAGTACAGTGGTGCGATCTCAGCTCACTGCAAACTCTGCCTCCTGGGTTCAAGCAATTCTCCTGCCTCAGCCTCCCTAGTAGCTGGGATTACAGTCTCCTGCCACCACGCCTGGCTGAATTTTGTATTTTTAGTAGAGACGGAGTTTCGCCATGTTGGCCAGGCTGGTCTCAAACTCCTGACCACAGGTGATCCACCCACCTTGGACTCCCAAAGTGCTGGGATTACAGGCGTGAGCAACACGGCCAAAACAAATTTTTAAGAATTAAAATCATATGAAGTTCTTCTCAGACCACAGTGGAATAAAAACTAGAGATAAATACCAAGAGGAACTTTGGAAACTATACAAGTATGTGGATATTAAACAACATGCTTCTGAATGATGATTGCATCAGTTAAGAAACTAAGATGGAAATGTAAAAAAAAATTATTTTTTATTTTTTTGAGACGGAGTTTTGCTCTTGTTGCCCAGGCTGGAATGCAATGGTGTAATCTTGGCTCACCACAACTCTGCCTCCCAGGTTCAAGTGATTCTGCTGCCTCAGCCTCCCAAGTAGCTGGGATTACAGGCATGCGCCATCACACCCGGCTAATTCTGTATTTTTAGTAAAGATAGGATTTCTTCATATTGGTTAGGCTGGTCTCAAACTCCAGACCTCAGGTGATCCACCCACCTTGGCCTCCCAAAGTGCTGGGATTACAGGTGTGAGCCACCGCGCCTGGCCAGAAATTTAAAAATTTTTTGAAATAAATAAAAATGAAAACAAAACATACCGAAACCTGTGGGATACAGCAAAAGCAGTGCTGAGTAAAGTTTATAGTATTAAATGCCTACATCAAAAAAAAAGAAAGATTACAAGTTAACAACCTAACGTCACTCATCAAGGCGCTATAAAAGCAAGAACAAACCAAATGTAAAGTTAGCAGAAAAAAGAAATAACAAAAATCAGAGCAGAGCTAAATGAAATACAAACAAAAAAATACAAAGGATCGATGAAATGAAAAGTTCATTTTTCAAAAAGATAGACTGATAAACCACTACCTAGACTAACCAAGAAAAGAGAAAATCTGAATAAACAAAATCAGAAAAGATAAAGGAGACATTACAACCGATACCACAGAAATACAAGAGATCATCAGAGACTATTATGAACAACTATATGCGTACAAACTAGAAAACTTAGAGGAAATGAATAAATTCCTAGAAACATGCAACTTCCCAATATTGAATCAGGAAGAAATAGCAAACCTAAATAGATGAATAATGAATAGCTAGATTAAATCAGTAATAAAAGATCTCCCAAGAAAGAAAAGCCCAGGACCAGATGGATTCATAGCTGAATTTTATCAAATGCACAAAGAAGAACTAATACAAGTCCTCCTGAAACTGTTCCAAAAAAAAAATTGAGGAGAAATGAGTTCTCTCTAACTCATGCTATGAGACCAGTAATACCTTATATCAAAATCGGACAGACCATGACACATAAGGAAAGAAAACTCCACACCAATATCCCTGATCAACATAGACGCAAAAATTTTCAAAAGATACTAGCAAACCAAATCCAACAGCACATCAAAAAAGAATAACCCATGGTCAAGTGGGATTCATCCCAGGGGTGCAAAGGATGCTTCAGCATATGCAAATCAATAAATAAATGTGATGCATCTTATCAACAGAATTAGACGATTAACCATATGATCAGCTCAATAAATGCAGAAAAAGCATTTGATAAAATTCAGCATCTCTTCATGATAAAATCCCTCAATAAACTAGGTATAGAAGGAACATACTCCGAATTATTAAAGGCCATATATGACAAACCCACTGCCAATATCATACTGAATGAGGAAAAACTGAAAGCATTCTAAGTACTGAAACAAAACAAGGTTGCCTACTTTCACCACTCCTATTCAACATACTAATTAGTACTGAAAGTCCTAGCCAGAGCAATCAGGCAAGAGAAAGAAATAAAAGACGTCCAAATTGTAAAAGAAGGCAAAATATTCCTGTTCACTGACAATATGATTGTATATCTAGAAAAACCTAAAGACTCCGCCAAAAAACTCTTAGACTTGATAAATGAATTCAGTAACACTTAAGAATACAAAATCAATGTATAAAAATCAGTAGTGTTTCTGTACACCAATAAGGATCTCGCTGAGGACCAAATCAAGAAGGCAATCCCATATATAATAGCTGCAAAAATAAAATAAAATAAAATACCAAGTAACCAAGGAGGTGAAAGATCTAAACAAGGAAAACTACATAACTCTGACGAAAGAAATTGTAGATGACACAAACAAATAGAAAGATAACCTGTGCTCATGGATCAGAATTAATATAATTAAAATGACCATGCTGCCCAATGCAATCTACATATTCAATGGGATCTCTATCAAAATGTCATTTTTCAGAGAATTAGAAAAAAACATGCTAAAATTAACATGCAACCAAAAAAGAGCTGGACTAGCCAAAGCAATTATAAAACAACAACAACAAAGCTAAAGGTGTCATATGACCAGAATTCAAATTATACTACAAGGCTGTAGTAACCAAAACAGTATGATACTGGTACAAAAACAGACACATAGATCAATGGAATAGAAAAGAGAATCCAGAAATGAAGCCACATATTACAGCCAACTGATCTTTGACAAAATCCACAAGAACATACAGTAGAGAAAGGACACCCTTTTCAATAAATGATGCTGGGATAATTGGATAGGCACCTGCAGAAGAATGAAACTGGACCACTATCTTTTACCATATAAAAAAATCAGCTCAAGATGAATTAAAGATTTAAATGTAAGACCGGAAACTACAAAAGCACTAGAAGAAAATCTGGGGAAAACTCTTCTGGACATTGATCTAGGCAAAAAATTGATGACAAAGACCTCAAAAGCACAGACAACACAAATCAACAAATGTGACTTAATTAAACTAAAAGGCTTCTGCACAGCAAAAGAAATAATCATCAGAGTGAACAGACAACCTGCAGAATGGGAGAAAATGTTTGCAAACTATGCATGACAGGGGACTAATGTCCAGAATTTACAAGGAACTCAAACAACTCAACAACAACAACAAAATAGAAAACAAATAATCCCATTAAACAATGGGCCAAGGACATGAATGGACACTTTTGAAAGAAGACATACAAATGGCCAAGAGGCATATGAAAAACTGCTTACCATCACAAATCACCAGAGAAATGCTAATTAAAACCACAATGAGATATCATTTTACATCAGTCAGAATGACTATTATTTAAAACACAAAAATAACCGATGTTGGCAAGGGTATAGAGAAAAGGTCATACACTTTTGGTGAGAATGTAAATTAGTACAACCTCTATGGAAATCAGTATGGAGATTTCTCAGATAACTGAAAATAGAACTACCATTCAATCTAGCAATACCACTACTGGGCATCTACCCAAAGGAAAAGAAATCATTATATCAAAAAGATAACTGCACTCACATGTTTATCACAGCATTATTCACAATAGCAAAGATATGGAATCAGCCAGGTGCTGTGGCTTACACCTGTAATCCCAGTACTTTGAGAGTCCGAGGCAGGTGGATCACTTGAGGCCAGGAGTTGAGACCAGCCTGGCCAACACGGTGAAAACCCATCTCTGCTAACTATACAAAAAAAAAAAAAAAAAAAAAAATCAGCCAGGCATGGTGGTGCATGCCTGTAATCCCAGCTACTCTGATGGCTGAGGCACAAGAATCGCTTGAACCCAGAAGTGGGAGGTTGCAGTGAGCCAAGATCGCACCACTGCACCCCAGCCTGGGCGACAGAACAAGACTCTGTCAAAAAAAAAAAAAAAAAAAAAAAGATAGGGAATTAACCTATGTATCCATCAACAGATGATTGGTAAAGAAAATGTGGTACATATACACAACAGAATACTATTCAGTCATAAAAAGAGAATGAAATCATGTCTTTGGCAGCAACATGAATGAAACTGGAAGCCATTAACTTAAGTGAAAAAAGTCAGACATAGACAGATTCTGCATGTTCTCACTTACAGGTGGGAGCTAAATAATGTGTACACATGGACATAGAGTGTGGAGTGATAGACAATGCTGACTTGGAAGAGTGAGGGGGTGGGAGGGGATTAGATGGTGAGAAATTACTTAATAGGTAAAAATGTACGTTATTCAGTTGAGGTATACCCAACAAAGCCCTGATAAGGATTTTAAAGCAGCTATCATGAACATACTTCAACAAGTAATTGAACACACTTAAATTTAAAAAATTACAATTCAAGAAATAAAGACATAGAAGGAAAAATTTTGAAATTTTAGAACTGAAAATATAATTAAAATAAATTCATTGAATGGGCTCAATAGCAGAACGGAGATGACAGAGGAAAGTCAATTAATTTGAAGACAGATTATTACAAGTTTCCCAAACTGAACAATAAAGAGAAAATGGCTGAAAAAGAAATGAACAGAGATCCAGGAACTCGTGGGACAGTAAGAAAATAA